AACAAGCTCGCTCACGACGCCAGGACAGCGGAGTCACTCACCACCTTCCGGAGACATTTAAAACCCCACCTCTTTAAGGAATACCTGGGATAGGATAAAGTAATCCTTCTACCCCCCCCTTACCCCAACCCACCCCCCCCCAAAAAACAAAAAACATTGTAAAGTGGTTATCCCACTGGCTATAAGGTGAATGCATCAATTTGTAAGTCGCTCTGGATAAGAGCATCTGCTAAATGACGTAAATGTAAATGTATTAGCAACCAGCACAGGTGAAACAACTTCCCACTAACGAGATGGCAACCAGCACAGGTGGAACACCTTCCCACTAACGAGATGGCAACCAGCACAGGTGAAACACCTTCCCACTAACGAGATGGCAACCAGCACAGGTGAAACACCTTCCCACTAACGAGATGGCAACCAGCACAGGTGGAACACCTTCCCACTAACGAGATGGCAACCAGCACAGGTGGAACACCTTCCCACTAACGAGATGGCAACCAGCACAGGTGAAACACCTTCCCACTAACGAGATGGCAACCAGCACAGGTGAAACACCTTCCCACTAACGAGATGCAACCAGCACAGGTGAAACACCTTCCCACTAACGAGATGGCAACCAGCACAGGTGTAACACCTTCCCACTAACGAGATGGCAACCAGCACAGGTGAAACGCCTTCCCACTAACGAGATGGCAACCAGCACAGGTGTAACACCTTCCCACTAACGAGATGGCAACCGGCACAGGTGTAACACCTTCCCACTAACGAGATGGCAACCAGCACAGGTGAAACACCTTCCCACTAACGAGATGGCAACCAGCACAGGTGTAACACACACTGACTAACGAGGTGACACCAAACGGTGCGCCAAAGGCTCCTGACCTCTTGTCAACCTGGAATGGAGAGAGTGAAAGTATAGAAAGATCTCCTGAACTAACACCTGTATGAGGGTGTTTTGTGTTAGAGAGAAAGTGATCAGTGAACTGATACATAAACAATGGTAATTACTATCGTGTGCATCATGGTCAAAAGATTTAAGATTCTCTCTATCTTGATATGCATCTTGTTCACTGAGACATAGAAAGGAATTCAAAAACAAAAAGTGACCTTTTGTGACTGAGTGAATAAATTACATTCCTGAGCTCATAGGCCTGTTTTGAATCCCCTGTTACGTGTGGTTATCAGACAGATATGATGTGCATCATCATGGAGGTAAATACTTTTTCTCCATCTTGGTCACAGTATATTAGTTGTTGTATTAATACACCGATACCAAAGTCATTTTGGCCAGAGAGGCTTTCCTTAATAGAATTTCAAGAAAACTCCTCTTGTGAGTAGCTCACGCAAACAAAGTGGGGTTGAATTGCTCCATGACAATAAACAGCCATTGATTCCAAAAGGTTTTGTATTAAAAGATAGAGAGGGTTTACAGAACAAGAGCCATGAAAGCCTCAAAATGCTAGACAGTGATTGAGGTCAAAGAAAATACTGGATAACAACAACTAAGGATAGACCTACTACTATCACCATCACCTTGTCGAACGTATCGTGTTGTCAATATTAAGGAACGTTTAACAACATTTGCTGTTTCCATCACACCAGTCATTACTTTTTTTCATGCGACAGGTAGTTTGCATAAAGTAACTGCATTCAAATGGTTGGATTTAAATCAGGCTATTTATTTGGCTCAATTTAGATTTATGATCTCAGTAACTGAACTAAGGTATTCCTTCATTAGCTAATAGAACAATTGGATGGCATACCAGTCGAGGTATACCAAACCTTTTTTGATATACTAAGAGGACCGTTATTAGCATGTTTTAACCACTCCTATGTAAATGGTAGATTATCTGACACTCAAGAAGAAGGTCTGATCTCATTATTACTGAAAGAGAATACAAGTGGTAAATATAAAGATCCAGTCCATTAAAAAAATTGGAGGCCCCTTACACTTCAGTGTTGTGATGCAAAAATCCTAGCAAAATGTATGGCGCATAGAATTAAAAAGGTATTGTCGGATATTATTCATTCTAATCAGACAGGTTTTTTACATGGAAGATACATTGGAGATAATATAAGGCAAGTATTGGAAACAACAGAACACTATGGAAAATCTGGGAAACCAGGCCTGCTATTCATAGCAGACTTCGAAAAGGCATTTGATAAAGTACGACTGGGGTTTATATATAAATGCCTGGAGCATTTCAATTTTGGAGAATCTCTCATAAAATGGGTCAAAATCATGTATAGTAACCCTAGGTGTAAAATAGTAAATAATGGCTATTTCTCAAAAAGTTTTAAACTGTCAAAAGGAGTGAAACAAGGTTGTCCACTATCGGCATATCTATTTATTGTGGCCATCGAGATGTTAGCTATTAAAATCAGATCCAACAATAATATCAAGGGGCTGGAAATCCAGGGCTTAAAAACAAAGGTGTCATTGTACGCTGATGATTCATGTTTTCTTTTAAATCCACAACTAGAATCCCTCCACAGCCTCATAGTGTCAGTGGGTGCTGTAGGTGGGTGTGGTGCAGGAATCAGATGCAGGACGCAGAAAAATAAGTCCAATAGACTTTAGTGAACAGCACACTCAAATTCACGAGTCAAACGCCCGGAGGCGAGAAAGTCCGCACACAGGCGAAAACCAAACGGCGCACAAAACAGTGCGTAAATAACCTCCGAACACCGAGGAGGAAAATATGAAATGCACAAGGCAAACAGTAGCGCACAAAACACGACAGCGAAACAATAACACACAAACACAGACACACACAACGAGAACTAAATAGAACACTAACGAGGACTAACTAGACACAGGTGTACAACATCAAGACCAAACCAAACGAACATGAAACATCGATCGGTGGCAGCTAGTACTCCGGAGACGACGACCGCCGAAGCCTGCCCGAACCAGGAGGAGGAGCAGCCTCGGCCGAAACCGTGACAGTACCCCCCCCTTGACGCGCGGCTCCAGCCGTGCGCCGACCCCGGCCTCGGGGACGACCAGGAGGACGCGGAGCAGGGCGCGCGGGATGGTCCCAGTGGAACTCAGTCAGGAGGGATGGGTCTAGGATGTCCCTCCGCGGCACCCAGCACCGCTCCTCCGGGCCGTACCCCTCCCACTCCACGAGATACTGGAGACCCCCCATCCGGCGTCTGGAGTCCAAGATGGACCGAACGGTGTACGCCGGAGCCCCCTCGATGTCCAATGGGGGCGGAGGAGTCTCTCCTATCTCATTGTCCTGGAGTGGACCAGCTACCACCGGCCTGAGAAGAGACACATGGAATGAGGGGTTAATATTCTTATATTCAACAGGTAGATGTAACCTATAACACACCTCGTTCAATCTTCTCAGGACTTTAAAGGGCCCCACAAACCGCCGACCCAGCTTCCGGCAGGGCAGGCGGAGGGGCAGGTTTCTGGTAGAGAGCCAGACTCGATCTCCGGGTGCGTACACCGGCCCCTCACTGCGGTTGAGATCGGCGCTCGCCTTGTGACGAAGGACGGCCCGCTGCAGGTGGACGTGGGCAGCGTTCCACGTCTCTTCCAAGCGCCTCATCCAATCATCCACCGCAGGGGCCTCGATCTGGCTCTGCTGCCACGGTGCCAGAACCGGCTGGTAACCTAATACACATTGAAAAGGGGTTAGGTTAGTAGAGGAGTGGCGGAGAGAGTTCTGGGCCATCTCGGCCCAGGGAATGTAACGCGCCCACTCCTCAGGCCGGTCCTGGCAATACGACCTCAGAAACCTACCCACATCCTGGTTGACACGTTTCCACCTGCCCGTTACTCTCCGGGTGGTACCCCAAGGTAAGGCTAACCGAGACCCCCCAAACGCTCCATAAACGCTCTCCACACACGGGAGGTAAACTGGGGGCCTCGATCAGACACTATATCCTCGGGGACCCCGTAATGCCGGAAAGTAACGTGGGTAAGATATTAGGGCCTCA